TTGGTCTTTGAAGGCTGGGGTCTTTGGTCTTTGAAGGCTGGGGTCTTCGGTCTTTGAAGGCTGGGGTCTTTGGTCTTTGAAGGCTGGAGTATCTTTTGGTCTTTGAAGGCTGGGGTATCTTTTGGTCTTTGAAGGCTGGGGTCTCTTTCTTGAGGGGCCGCCAAAAAGGCCAGGCGACTGGGCGGTGGCCTGGTGCCGCGGTGCCCCGGGCCGGGCAGAAGAAAAGTGTGCTACACCTAAGACCCTGGATCTTCAAGCTGCCTAAAGATCTGCTGGGTGCATTTGTCAGTGAGAAAAAGGGAACGCTGTCTTTTTCCAAAACCTCATTATAGTTCAAGGGTGAAACCCTTGCAAAGCTGTGCTCAAAATGAATGGTTGGTCACCGCTGTATCTTGGTGTCTCACCTCGCCGTTCCCGGCTTATCACAACAAAAAAGCCGTCGCAAAAAGACGCCGTAAGTGCATTTTGGTCCTGGTGATTACTGTAGTTGCGCCATATTGAAGATCGGACTAGTAACTTCCAGCGGTTCCAAAGGGATGCCTATTGGTTCACTTAGGGACTAAAAACATCCTTTGGAACAGCTGGCTCATGTATAGCTTAGTGTTCTGGGGATGTTTGCTGGGAATCATTCTTCAGCATGGCCCTCAACACCTGCGAACCCACCAAACAAACACAACAAGTGGAGGCATTACCTTACTGTAGTGATCGTTATCTACACTGCGACTCACCTACGATGGACTCGAATGGACCTGCATATGGCAGATATGGGGGGCAACCACATTCGATCTCATATCCACCAAGTGGCTTGGCCCGCTCCACTAAGGACTGAGGAGACCTCAGCCAAAACGCAGTCCGTCCACATGACCCCCGCCCATGCGTTCAAAAAGAGAAGACTCAGGACCCAAGGGGGCCATGGTTATTCTACGACCACTGGGCTTAGACATGTTCTTCTTCGGCCAAAGCAGGCGCCTACGTGTCAAGACATGCGTCTGCCGTCTGCAGCACCGAGAGGCTTCAAGGTCTCAACATAGGCCGCCTTGCCTCGCGTTTGGCGAAGGCGCAAGAAATGTTAAACATCATATCATCCACCCTTCGCAGAAGAACGACGATGCACTCCCTAGAATCATCATGGAAGTGAAGTTTGCAACCCGTTGTGTAGTGGAAATGTGTCTTCCAAGAGGCCATGCCATCTGCTGGATTGTGCCCCTTTTGCAGGAGTTGTTGGAAGACGCTATGTCATTTCCCCCTGTGCTAAGTCTACAAGACGAGCTGTAAGAATGACTGAAGTGTTGGAGCGACGTGGGAACAACAAACTTCCGAGTCAAAGCTCCTCAACTATCGTTTGCAGCGGTCGCTGCTCCCCACCCTCACACCCTCCGTCCCCTCCTTCCAGAATGGCGTCATGGAAGAGCAGGTGCAAGCGCCAATTTCCTGGAACGCCACCGACAAGCCCAACAAACACCGGAACCGGTGAAACGAGAACCACGTCTCCAAACCCAGCCTAGAACCACCGTCTCCAGACGCAATGCTCAAAACATATGGAGGTCGGAGTCGGTATGAATCGGTCATAGTCGGGAGGACTGCTTTGGAGATCTTGATGGGTGGTTCTCACAGAGTGTACATACAGCTGGCGATGCCCTTGGGGAGGAAAAACACCAACGGATTGGACACTGGCGATCTGTATGGTCTTCCAGCTTGCCATCTTCTACCTCCAGGTTGAATCCATTATAATCCATTAAACCACCCCTTGAGGTTCCTGGTGCTGAAAGCCGCCCAAAGCTCCGGGCGGCCGGTCCAAAAGCGCATCCGAGGAGCCCATCAGCGTGTCTAATCCCACGTCACGGATGATCTCATTCGTCACGCTGCTCCGCAGCAACAGCACCTGAGCGATGGAGGTTTGCTGCGGGGGCCGGGTATACAAGGATTCGTCATGTGGAGGAGGCTCGCTCAAAGGAGCCTGGCACAAGTCTTCCAAGCCCTGAGATGAGGCTGTGTTCGTTGGGGGCACTGTAGGATTGGGATGGATATGGATATGGTGTCTTTTCAGAGAAGTTCAACCCAAAACCTGCAAAAAGGCCACCTGCTGGAGAGGTGGCCTACTTCGTGTGCCCCGGGCTCCCGGACATAGCGCCCCACCATGCGCTCGTAGACGGCCTCGCAAAAATGAACGGATCGGATGGACCAAACGAACCCAAGGCCAGTGGACCCTCTTCCCTTTCGAAGCGGACATCAAGAGTCTACATTGCCATTGCCTCTGTATGCTAGTGCTTTTTGCCATTTTTTGCCATTGCGCTGCTAGCTGTCAACTTGTCACATCGTCTCTGTTGAGACCAAGTGGCCAAGCTCTTGCGGCCGAAGCGCGCCTCAGTCGTCGTGAGCGCGCCTCTTCCGTGCAGGGGCGCTGGGTGGGACTGGTGATGGGACCAAGGGTTGCAGTTGAGGCTGAAATATTATATACCATTATATACCGCAATGAAGATTCTTCAACAAAGTTCCCCGATGTGGAATGTGGAGAGTAAAACTCTTCACATGGTGGGTTCTATTCATCAAGAGTCTACGTTGCTGGTGAGTACTCGGGTTGGAAGATGACGGACTTTTCCATCGAAACCTGTGGCTAGCCAAGCACGGTACAGCGATTTCATCCTCAGCTCTTGAGAAGCTGCCAGACTAATTCAACTGCCTTCGTTTCGGCCCTTTCTTGATGCTTGGGTCGAACCTCTGCCACCCCTCACTAGGTCGAACTGCTCATTCTCTCACGTCCCACAAATTGAAATAAACAACAAGAAACAAACTTCCAGGAACCCCCCACCTCCCAGGAACCCCCAAGAACCCCCCCTCCACGGTCCCCGTCACCTTCTTCGCTCCGCCCAACCCCATCGGAGTCAGTCCGCCAAGTTGCTGCGATTGCCTGGGACCGCGACCACAACGTGGGCCAGTCGCCCCGAGACTTTTGGGCCTCCGGCACGAAGTCGCGCCAAAAGGAGGCCACCTGCACGCGGAAGACGTCTTGGTGTTGTAGCTCACGTGGCTCTCATATTTGTTGCACCAGGGTGGGTTGGCTCTGCACAGGATCAGCACGGGGTGCCGGTGGCCCCAGAAATTGGCCGACTTTGAGGCCGCCCGAACAACAAAAAGCGCAATTCGAGTTCTGTTTAATACCCGTTGAATAATGCCCAAAGCTCAAACCCAGGACTTTATTTAATAAAATCCTTCGGGACTGAGGTCATTTCCTTATTTTTTTGTGGCCCAAGGTACGAAGCTCAAAAAAATGACGATTTTTTTTGGCCTTTTAATTTCCTGGACCAAGGGGTTTTCTAAAGTCTGGGACTGAGGTCGGGACATGTGTGTAAAACAAAATTCTGGTTCTTACTGAAATGCTGTCATTGACCCTAGCTCGTGAATTTATGCGCAAAAAAAGCTGTACTTTTTTCCTTTGCATGATCTTTCGAAAGTGTGGTATTGGTGAACCGTCTGTACTTCCATTGAGGGAATAGACCTGCAGAGTTTGTGTGGCGTATTAGTCATTTATAACTAGATTTTGGTTCATTGAAACACTCTCGTGTCTGTGACATGCATGCTGCGAGCATGACCGCGGAACACAAGATCACAAGGAACGACTGCGAAACACAAAACACAATATAATCCTGAGCTTGACCCTCAGAGACCTCCAAGTGGAAAAAAAACATCCGTTTATAGAATCCTGCGTCTGACCTAACGTGTAGTCTTTCAAGTCAGTCACATCATCATTTATCTAGCTTTTCTGAAGTTCTGGACAAAGGTACTCTTTGGGAATGCCGGATCAAAACCCATCCATGTTATGAAGTCCTGGACGTACGTGTATTTCGGAAAATGGTTTGTACTATTTAGTGGGGTTGAGGTCAAGGATTTTAGTATGGATTATTTAACGGATATTTTTTACAGATTCTTTGAGCACAACTTTCTCATGAATCCCCAGTGACCCCTTCCGCGCCTCCTCCTCAGGTAGCCCCGCCGTGGCCGCCTCCACTGTGGCCGCGTCGGGTGCAGGCGTACGGAGGGCCTGGCACAGGAGGGTGGCACTATCCTGGGGCTATATATAATAACTGCATGTGTTCCTAAACTATCATGGTTTTTTGCCTTTAGAGTGGTCGATGGTGAAGACTAGGGCGTGGTTCAAAAGAAAACTTGATGCCCCCTGGACAACTATGACTGATGGGCTCAAAGACCTCAATAAAGGACGTATCACCGTCAGACAATCTCTGCGCTCACCCCGCCGGCCCTGGGCTCGCCTGTAATTACTCACACTCAACGGATCGCGGCAGTGCTACCCTGCCAGTGGGGAACCTTCCAAGGAGGTGATCCTTGTCAGTTCCTTTCGCTGTCTGTTCGCGGGCCTCCAAGGTGGCGGCCCGGGCTCTCCAAATGTCCTCGGGACGAAGCAGTCTGCTCTGCAAACGCTGGCATGTTTCTTCAAGATCGCTGTCTGCATACCAGTGTGCATATATACATATATATGGCCTATGGTCTATACTTGCCGGTTGACTGGTTGGTGGCCTCAACTACTTTCAAAAAATGAACAATTTTCGTCAATGGGATCGATCATGGCAAGCAAGGTTGAAAATTAGAAGTCCCTGCAATCACCACCCAGAAAGTCATCTAATGTAGACTCTTGATCGATACACCCCCCCCATTTGAATTGAAAATCCTCTTCAAAGGGATTCAAACGTGGGGGTTTATTAATCAAGAGTCTACAGTCTACATTAATGTCAACATAGGATTAGGCAACCCCCCCTATTAGTCTACCCAGCGTTCAGGCCCCAATAATAGACTAATTTGAACTATGAATTTCCACAGTCACCACCCTCTAATAAAAATTTTGCTTGGCTGAAACCCCCCCCTATTAGTCTACCCCCTGTCCCCCCAGGAAAAATATAACTATTTAAATATATATGTGCGTTTAAATACTAATTCCCTTTCATTCCAATTCTTCCAACTACTAATTCGCTTTCATCCCAACCTTTCCAAATACTAACGCCCTTTCATTTCAATTCTTCCAAATACTAAATTCCCTTTCATTCCAATTCTTCCAAATACTAATTCCCTTTCATTTCAATTCTTCCAAATACTAATTCCCTTTCATTCCAATTCTTCCAAATACTAATTCCCTTTCATCCCAATTCTTCCGAATACCAATTCCCTTTCATTCCAATTCTTCCAAGTACTAGCTCCCTTTCATCTCAGTTCTTCCAAATACTAATTCCCTTTCGTCATCAGGTCATCCCCACTATTAGGGGGATGTGATCTCCAAAACCTCCAATCTCAGACCTTGTTGACCTTGTTGACCTTCTACGGGGGGGGAGGGGGGGGCCCGTTGATTAATCCGACGTCGACATTACTAAGTTGAGTGCAACGCTGCTGCGGCGCCTGGTGGGACACGTGGTGGGGTGAGAGACACGTGTGCCACTCACACTCACCTCTGTGAAGTCCCTGCCGGGCGACACGACGAGTTAGCTGAGCGCAGCACTGCGAGACAGTGCTTAAAAGACATGTCCGCACTGTCCAGTAAAGAACTTCGTGAGGTGAGAGGCTCCCAGATTTTGTGAACCTGGTTTGGCGGTGAAGCGCCCAGTCCCTGAGCATCTGTGCTGGGCTCCGGGCTTCGGTTCCCGGAACGGTGTTTCTGGTTCCCGTGGTGTTTCTTTTCCTGGATTTGATTTTTTGGGTTCCCGCACGTCGGGCGGTGTTTCCGGCTTCCACTTGGGAGGTTTTGTGGTTCCCGCTTAGGTGTTTTCAGCGGCTGGGATGGTGTTTCTGGTGGCCGGGGGTGTTTCCGGCACCTGGAAAGGTGTTTTTGGCTCCCGCAAGAGAAATATAGAGAAAACGTATTTTTGGTTCCCGCCGGGGACAACACTGTCGGCTGCATGTTTTTGGTTCCCGCACAGGAAATATAGAGAAAAGGTGTTTTTGGTTCCCGCCGGCGACAACACGGTCGGCTGCACCACTTGCAACGTTGTGACGCGGCAGAACGCACGGTGGAGCATTCGAGACGTTGCAGTGCAACGAACGGGTCAGCTTGGAAATAAAACAGAAAAGCAGAAAACAAGAGCAGTGGAAATTGATGGTATCGGTGGCTTTGCGAAACTGTATGCGGAGATATATGGCCAGGTAAGAAATACGAAGACAGCGTCACAGAAAAGTGTAACAACGAGCTGACGTAGAAAACAGTGTTGGTTGTAAGGTCTGATCGCGGTGGCGGATCTTTTAAGCACACCAGCGGATTCTGAAAACGCCAGTCAAGGAAGGGAGCACACCTGAGAGCAAAAAGCAACCCACAGCGATCCATTAGAAAAAGCTGCCTTGCAGGAACAAAGCTTCTGTCTGGACTTTGTTCGCATTGCGGGGGAGGCGCTGCGCCCTCCCCTGCACCCCCTCCCGCTGTTTAATTTGGACCATGCAACCGAGCAAGCAACCAGCAAACCACATCGTGTCTGAGGTCAACCCCTGCGGAACCACCAAAGCTGCAAGCAACAAGCCAGCCACAGTGATCCCTGAGAAAAAACTTTGTTGCAAGCTGCGGTAGAAAGCCAGCCAGAATGACCCCCTAGAAAAACCTGCGTTGCAAGAACAAAGCTGCTGTCTAGACTTTGTTTGCATTGCAGGGGAGGCGCTGCACCCTCCCCCGCACCCCGCTCCCGCTTTTCAATTTGGACCATGCAACCGAGCAAGCAACCAGCAAACCACATCTGGCGCTTTGTCCTCCCCCGCACCCCCTCCCGCTTTTGAATTGGGGACATGCAACCGAGCCAGCAACCAGCAAACCACCAATGCTGTATATATATATATGTATATATGTATATATAAAGACTATATATTCAAAAACTCATATACGTACCTAACTTATTAACACCTGGGTGTGCGTTTTGTGTTCACGGTTTCATGCAAAAGGCCGCAGACGACCACTCGGTCAAGGACCTCAGGATGGGAACCCAAAACACCGCTGGGAACTGGAAATACCCGGCGGGGACCCAAAAAAACGATTCCAGGAAAAGAAGCACCACGGGAACCAGAACGGAAAGGCACGCTGTGGGGGCCTGCGTTTTTTGAGTTCTTCTAAAAAACCAGTGTTTTCGATAAAGCCCTTTTTTAGTATATAGACATATATAATATATACACACATATACTTTTTACTTTCCCGATATTTTTTGTTAGCTATTCAAAAAAATAGAAGATGTGCAAATCAATAACAAAAGCTTATGTGCCACACAATGTAGGCAAGGAACAAGGATCTCTCACTATGAAGGTGGAAGAGAGGGATCTCTGGAGGGGTGGTCGGGCAAAAAAACATGTTGTTCCCCCCCAGCTGGGAACCCCCTAGACCCTTCCCTGGTGGTTTATCATCAAGTGTCCGTAGCTTGGAACATGTGATGCAACACCAGCGGCTTCACTACTGTTATCATCCATAGCTTCTGTAGCTGGGACCTGTGATGCAAACAGCTTCCCCTGCTCTTCTCATGAAGTGTTTGTGCTTGGAACATGTGATGCAACATCAGCTGCTTCACTACTCTTAGCATCAATTCTTCTGTTTTTGAAGCTGGAACATGTGATGCAACACCAGCTGTTTCACTAAAGACTTCATATCCATTGTAGAACAGACCCAAATATTAGCTATGTGTTGGGTAGCCCTTGGTATGCTTAGGCATACGGGCTTAACAGGTGTTTAGAGGTAGGGGTTTAGTCAGGGTAGTCGCGGGCATCCAGCAGATCAGAAGGTGGGCTAAACAGCCATGAAAATCAACCCAAGATGGGTTTCAATGACCTGTCGAAAGGCTCACAAGCGGGGTTTAGCCACGCAAAATTCCAGCCAAGCAAGGGGTTTACAATTCCCCTTTTTGATCCGAATAATGGGCTGTGGCCACCTTGTCAACAGCACAGGCCTGAAAAAACAACTGAAATCAAGAAATGACCAAAACTGCGCCAAACTGCATAGGTGGTAGGGAATAGGCCTGGGACTCAAGAAAGACCCTGTGAAGTCATGGTTAGACAAAGTGAAATACGTCAGGAACATTGTTGAAACAAAGCAGGAATTGATAGGTCGGGAATGGGTCGGAAATAGGTCGGGGCCCCAAGAAAGACCCTGCGAAGTCATGGTTGGAACAAAGCCGGAATAGGTCGGGGATAGGTCGGAAATAGGTCGGGGCCCGAAGAAAGACCCTGTGAAGTCACGCTTGGAACACAGCAGGATTAGGTCGGGAATGGGTCGGAAATAGGTCGGAATAGGTCGGGCCCTAAGACCCTGTGAAGTCATGGTTGGAACAGGCAGGAATAGGTCGGAAATAGATCGGGAACCCAACTACAGCGGGATATAAGCATACTGGCCAGAGCTAATGACAATTAACATCATCAGGGTATGCTTAGGACCAATGTAGTAGGGTTCCCGACCTATTCCGACCTATTTCTGCTTTGTTCGGACCATGACTTCACATGCTACTTCCCTGAGGAGCAAAATGCATCCTGTCAGCGTCAGCCCAGGCACAATGCTGTGTTCCGACCAACACATCGTTTCAACCACACGGAATGTCAGCGCGACATCACAATGCTTTACGAACAGCAAATTAAGAAGGCGGTGCATCTTGGAACCCACGAACCCCACTCAACAAGCTTGACTTCACATGATCAAACCTGCTGATGCGATAAAAGGCTTGGTTGCCCCGCGCGCGCAAAAGATTTTTTTGATTCATTTATCCCACCCGTGGCAATCAAAAGATCGCCCCTTTGAGCTAGCAATTGTGTATGTTTGCGCCGCCCGACCCTAGTGAAGCTTCAATCTATATAGAAGCAACACAATCACTTCAGCGAGACGCTTTTGACACCAGTGACCCCCGTATCACGCAAACATTTTGTGCGTTTAGCCCCTGCAAAACATCGGCTCCAGCAAGTGAGAATACACACATGTGACCTGGCATTGATGTGTTTTTATGCTGCCTGACCCTGGCGAAGTGCAATCTCGGAACCAACAAATCCCATTCAGCAAGCCTAATTACAGTTAAATATCCCCAACTTCCTTGCGACACACCCTGCAACACCCTAGCGGGCCAACTGCGTAAGCATACCCGAAGAAGCTAAGTGCCTAAGCATACCAAGGGTTACCCAAGCTATGTGTTTAAGAGCTTGATGAGGAAATCTGTTGGTGAGACCATGGCAAAGGGGCAGCAGGCTATGGACACCAGTGAGGTGTATCAGATGAGATGGGCATGAAGGATGCTGCGCAAAGCCTGCATCAAGCCATGAGGGGGATGGTTGAAAGGAAAAATGAAAAGGAATGGGTGCTGAGAGGGCTCAGGAGGAATGGGTTCTTGGCTATGAGGCAGGGAAGAATGGGGTCATGAAATGGTGTGGTGATCAGCCATGGGCAAAGGATATGCCACTGGGAAGTGGCAGGATTCATGAGGGATGGGTGAAGAATAGGTTGGTGCATGTGAAGGATGGGGTTATAGCACCTCCCAATTGGTCAAGGATTCAAGGGGCCAAGGAATTGGCTGATTTGGTTGAGTGGATGTATCATTCAGATCAGGACAGGTACAAAGATGCAGACATCCCAGGATTAGCTGATGAGCAGCTGCCAGAATGGGTGGATGCCAGCAATTTTCAATTGCAATTGGCCTATAGGAAGGCAGCTGTGCAAAGAGAGCATTCCATGAGCGATGGGGCAAAAGAGAAAAGGAAAAAGCAAAATCAGAGGAAGATGAATAGGAAAGTTTTGAGGGATGCTGCCAAGGCATTGGGTGATGAGGAGAAGACAGCCATCAGAGATCAGCTGTAGCAGGGGAGCAGGCATGAGGTGATGAGTGCAATGGTGCCATCAGCTACCAGGAAGGGAGCAGCACAGAATAAGGACAAGAAGAAGAAGAAGAAGAAGATTAGTTGGATGAAGAAGGCCAAGAAGCATATGCACAAGAACATGAAGAAAAGGCATTGGAGGATGTGGCCAAGGAAAAGCTATCAAAGAAGAAGGCACTGGAGGACGGGGGTCATGAGAGGCATGATGAGAAACCCAAGCAGAAGAAGCTCCCATTGGGGGATAAGAAGGATGAGAAAGGCAAGGATGAAGCCAATCTCCCATTGCCACCACCAGCATGGGCACCCCCCAGATGGATGGGAGGGGAAGATCAGGGTCATCAGTGAATACTCTGTATTGGAGGCAGGGTGAGGCATTGGACCAAGGAGGGAATGATGTCCATATGCTTTTGGAGGAGGATTGGAAAAATAATGGTGATAGGAAGGCATGGGTCATGAAGGAATACCTCACCAAGGTAGGGGGGATGAGAAGATTTGGAGATGGCCCCAATTGAGCATGAGCAGGGGGATGAAGCTGGAGATGCTCTATAAGGCTGGCCTATTGTCTATGGACCTTGAGCTCATTGATGTGAATGGGGGTGTGGAGGCGGTATCAGAGAAGAGCATCCAGGAGAATGGGGTGGATCAGCAAACATTGGTTTTGGGATGGGCGCTATCAGGTGGGTAGCCAATGAGAAGAAGCTGGATCAGTTGGACCCTGTGAGATTCATGCATCCCTCTATCAGCTATGGCCTTATTTTCCATCAGAACAATGAGTATGGCCATAAGGAGCTGGTGGCACCATGGGAGAAGATATCTGACGAGGGCAAGCTGTATTTGATCCCCATTCCAGCTGGGGGGCATTGGACACTGCTGGTGCTGGATTTGAGGATGGGTGTGCCTTTCGGTAGGGAGCTTTCCAAGGCTGTTACGTCCTCACGGAGGTTGTAGCCCCAGGCTGCGTAGTTCAGCAGAGGAGTCTTCGCCGAGTGCTGCTCCCTCAGCAAAGTGGGCACTGGCAGCGAGGAGGAAGCCAACAATGTTCTTGCACCAGGGGTGGTTTTCCTTTGACGGCGCCTCCTTGGTTCCGCATTCGTGGCTACCAGCTGGCAAAAAGGCAAATCGTGACGAATGGACCCAGGTCAAAGGGCCATTCCCTCACTAACAATTCGCTTCTATTTAATGCACACTTTCACTGGTGGTATGAGCACAGTAGCAATGCTGCAATTTTGGACTGTGCCATCCTTTCCATCGTTTTCATCCTTGCCTTTTTGGTGGTGCTACGGCACTCACAGGGTGATAAATGCCTAAGCAGTACTTGCAACAGCACATGCAACCGTTTGCTCGTTGGGCTCTTATGCCCCTGATTCGATCGCACCTTGCTCCGCTTCATGAAGAACAAGAAGTACTGAGCGTTTTGCGGAATTCATCGGGCCGCTTTGCTTTCGAAAGCTGTCTCACACTCACTACTATCACTTTCGCCATGGACCATACCAATAAGCCTCGTACCCTGCCGGATGGCAGCTTCTGCGGAGCTGGCATTGAAAGCCTTTGTCTCCCCAGCGACTTTCACAACATTGGCCTCAGGGCCTGTGAAAACTGCAAGCGATTGGTCGAAGTCAACCTCATGTGCACAGACATCACGGTTATCCTCAACTCAACGTTTGCGCACTGTGTCGCGCTGACTGATATCTGGCTACCGCCAAGACTGACGCGAATTGGCAAAGAGGCGTTCCTCGGCTGCATATCGCTTCGCGAGGTGGTGATCCCGACAGAACTCCAAGACATAGGCATTCGGGCTTTCTGCGGGTGTGAGCAGTTGAAGCGTTTCACACCCCTTGACTGGGGAGAAGGCGACAAGGCCATACAAGCAGAACACAATGCCCTTCTGCTGTGCGACAACTTTGACAGAGCATCTTGGGTGGAGCTCCTACCACTGGGGGGCCCTGACTCTGATGCCTTTGACGAAGAGTTCCACACAGAATTCCCATAACATGGGTTGGTCTGCAAACAAGTCAGGCAACAAGGGTGATCGCGTCTCTTTTGCCCACGATTTTTTCCTTCAGTTCTTTTTTATGGTGCTCTACTTTGCCCAGGAATGTTGGGTCCCCCGTAAGCCATCGGCAGAGTTCCTTCCACTGTTCGTCCGTATACGTCACGTTGCCGTATTTCTGGTATGGTCGATCGTCCTCACGACAGGGAGGATAGCCATAGTGGTAGTGGTTGTGGATGAGTTGAGTCGAGTGAGGTCATGGCGTGGTGAGAGGAGACTCCAACCCATTCTATAGGGTGGACGTCAACGTGCACTTTTTGGCAAGGATATGCCAATTGGGTCGTGAGAGGACTACTGCCAGACCAGTGAGGAGCCACTAGGAGATGATTTCATACTTGTTGCCATTACTCCGTGCAGAGTAGGTATCCTTTGCTCTGATCAGAAGGCTTTGCCGAAAGGAGAAGCAGCCTTGTCCGTCTGGCGGCACATAGGTATCATCCTCAACCTCCTCTTCGTCACCCTCAGGGTCCACAGTGGCCCTGGGCATTTCAGGTCAGGTATTATAAGACATTGGAGACCCCATCAGGTTTATCCAAGGAATGGGGTGAATTGATATTGGCTGCATTGCTCCAATTGGGTATCATTGATGAGAAGTTCTTGGGCAGGCCCCCCCTACAAAGGGTGAATGAGGTGGTGAGGCAAAAGAAGGGATCCAACCAATGTGGTGTATTTGTATTGGCCTACATGGAGCAGGAGGTTGCTGAGGCCATGGGGTGTGGCCCAGCAGGGGTTGGATGGCCATGGGTTGCTGCCCAGAATCGGATCACCAAGATGAAGAAGATGGGTGAGCAATTGGAGATTGAGAGGGAGAAACTATTTCACTACTGTTATCATCCATATCTTCTGTGGCTGGCACCTGTGATGCAACCAGCTTCCCCTGCTCTTGTCATCAAGTGCCTGTAGCTTGGAACATGTGATGCAACACCAGCTGCTTCACTACTGTTCTCATCCATAGCTTCTCTGGCTGGAACCTCTAATGCAAACAGCTTCCACTGCTCTTCTCATCAAGTGTGTTTATCTTGGAACATGTGATGCAACACCAGCTGCTTCACTACTCTTAGCATCAATTCTTGTGTTTTTGAAGCTGGAACATGTGATGCACCACCAGCTGTTTCACTACAGACTTCACATCCTTTGTGTAACAAGCCCAAAAATAGTAAAAAACACACAAAAACACTGAAAAACATGGGCCCTCACAGAGTTCCTCTCTCAACCAGAAACACCATTCCGGGAACTGGAACACCCAACTGCTCTGTGCTGCTCGCTTTTGGCATCAAAAGCAGCACAGTAGCCCCGCGATGTCATGTCCAAAGTGGCATTTCCCTAAGCTCCACAAATTCGATTTCTTCCATGCCGAGGACGCCGCCTTCAACCTTAACTTAATTTGTTAAAGATTGCCACGGAAGTGGACATGGTGCCAAACCCATTGGTAAAGTCTCTGAGCACAAGTTCTTGGTGCTGCAAATGACACACATTCCGCGCCGATTGCCATGCAAACTATGAGGTGATCCTAATCCAAGTACTCTCTGTAGCAGCACGTGCGGCCACCATTTGACAAAAATATGCAAAGAATTCCATGTGGGTTGTTTTTGAAATGTAGTGACTTTAGCTTCTTGATTTGTGGGTCAGTTCTCCTCTTCCTGTTCATCCATGTCCTACCCTCCACGAACGTGCTCTCCTCGCGCCGAGCGGCGTGCTCCGGGTGGAAGGCTTCGGGACATGGCACCCAGCGATCCCACACGGTTTCATCCAGCCGACCTCGGTGCTGCTGGGCGACCCGCTCTCCCGGGGGAGTGGTCGACCCAGGGCAGCAGCTCCAGACCCATCAAACGAAAGGATGAAAAATCGAAGGGAGGATGATTTGAGATGACTCGCGGTTCACGGATCTGACATGCTATAAATAAACACCTGATTCTACTGACCTCCAAGGTCTTCAGTCGCTCCACCGTGACAATTACAACACTCTACCCGAATGACTTGGAAACTATCCGATCCCAGATCATCCATGAGACTGGAATAGTTACTGTTCCAGTCCCATCAATATTCTGTATATATAGACACCCTAGTGCCTTCTAAGTGATTGACAAACATTTACAAACCACCCTTTTGTCGCTTGTTGTGGTGGAAAAGAATGACCAACTGCATTACACATGGAGGTCCCCACCCACCTTTAGTGGTCTCCAAGTCAACATCTTCCCGAAAAGGCTACATGGCAACAGAACAGAACCAGCAGGTTCTCAGGGTACTTGCGACACATCACATGCTGGAAGACTCTACAAGCAGGATCAAGCAGAATCAAACGGCGGGCGTTTCCTCATGCTTTCTCCACTTTCCACGCCGTGTCCCCAAATGCCCCAATTCGTGCCCCAAATTCGATCGGGCCCCCTGGTACCCCGGTTTCTCAAACCCAAAGCGCGTGGAGCGATCACCTCACAGAGCTCTTGCACGTACCACCAGTTCCTCGTCCGAGCCAGTTGGATCCCGGAACCCCAGGAGTCACGTGTCACCAGTGGCTTTTGGAGTTCCATCGGATCACGGGCACCCCGAGCTCTGTGACGGCACCCCGAGCTCTGTGACGGCACCCCGAGCTCGGTGACTGGACAAGACATAGACAGAGACGGTGAAGCGAACTTTCGGTGGGGGACGTCACGAAAAACGATGGTCAGATGGCACAATCCCCAATGTCGGTGGTGTATATGGACCCCTAAGAAAAAAGGACATCTTGGGGTCAGTATGGGTCAGTATGAATGGCTATCATATTTGTTTATATACTCTGAAAGCACGGCTACCCAAAAAGGACTAGGCTAATAGCCAAATGGGGGGCGATGGGCGACGGGTGGGGAATCCATGGGCGACGAAAACGGCATGGGGTGACCCAAACAGAACAGCAATCATCAATGAAGATCATAAGTATTGAGGTTTGAGGGGTGAGAAGTGCCCCGTGTGAGCCCCAATTGATGCAGCCTCCCGAGGTGGAGAACACTTTAAGTCTCAGAGACCCTTGGTGAATTAAATTCTCAGATCACCCAAACAATCCACACTCTCTCCCACGCTCTCTCCAAGCAGCTCTCCAGTCTCACAGCCTTTTTCGCGCTTTTTCACCTCCAACCCGCGGACGCGGGCCTCGTCGGCCAGCGCCCAGACGCACTGCCGAGCACCAGACGTACCTAAGGCCCGGCGGAGGCGCCAGACCAGGTAGGCGCAGGTCAAGGCCATCTCCGGGTCCATCTCCGCCGGAAACTCCCAAAGAGACCGGAGCGTTTGGAAGGCCTCGAGAATCCCCAAGTGAGGAAGAGCCCAACGGTTCGGGGGGGAAGACTTGTTTCCCAAAGCCTTTAAATTACAAGAAATCTGAGAACTGAAATGAATTGGATACTTGAAAAAATAAAACACATCCCTGTTTCTAACCATTCAACCTCTCAGTCTTGCTTTGCGGGCATATTGCCCATATTCCTTCTACTGTACTCAAAAAACCTTGGATCGCCTCCCCCCCCAAAAAAAAATACCACCTCAATTAGGCAACCCAAGATGAAAGCTGAGGGAAGCCAGCCAGAAGGATTTGATCCAGGTGGGTGGATGTGCCCAACTGCAGGGAGCCTACCTTTCGTGACTTGAACCCGCCTTCGCCAGCCCAGAAGCTCCCCACAAGAGCAGCAGCAAGGCTTCCACCTCCCGCGCCAGCAAGATCCGCTCCAAGGACGACAGCACGGAGCCGGCGCGCGGTCCATCCAGGTCCCGCGCGCTTGGAGAAGCGCGGGAGAACCAGAAGCTTACCTGGCGGTGGTGCAAAGCAGGGATGGACCCCGTTTTACACTCCGACTCGCTAACATCGAAGTGGACGGTACCCTGTCTGTAGAGGAAACGATTCGCTCTCAGCTTCCACTTCCATGTGAGTGAGTCAAAGGGTATGTGACATGACATGTTTTTTTTGCCATTGGGTTTGGATGGTGGCCAATTTTGGAGTCATAGCCACTCACTGGGGTGGAGAAATGGCATGAAAGAGGGGCTGAGCCAACGTCGCTTGCTGGCTTGCTCAAACTTGGGAAGTCAGCAATGATGCGCATCATCAGTCATGCAACTAGTGGGTTTCCCTTCTCAGCACCAACACAAACACCTATTGGAGGCCCGGGGAAAGTCGCACACACAGATGCGCAGTTACAAATTGGAATCAAAATGAATCACGTCGAAACTTCCACTCGAATCTGCGACTCTGTTGCAGAGAGGGAATCTTCGGTCAAGGACTGGACGTGATGATACCAGCCACAGGGCAAGATGAGCACATCGCCGGGTCCCAACACCGCCTCCACCACCTGGACCTCTGAAAGCCTTGGGAAGCGCTGGTAGTCTGGATGCTCCAGATCGGCACGAGCGCACCGGTCCATGGGGTGCCCCTGGGGAAAGGGGTACAAGCCATAGGAGTAGCGTGGGTCGATGAGGAGGAACCGCTTCCAACCTTTCACCTGGACGTAGGCGTTGTGGAGCAAGTCATAGTGACAAGGAGTCAAAGCATCCCTGCATCCAATGAAGAGTTGCGCCTGCTCAAACTCGCCCCATTGCCCTGCCTCCTGAATCCGTCTCAGCTCCTTCCACGTTTGCTCATCCGCCAGGTCCTCATCCACTGCACTACCCAAGTTGAAGCCTTCAAACTGCCCCTCCACCTGCCGCAGCACGACGCCCCACAAGTAGTAAGCAAAGCCATCTCCACCATCTCCTTCCGCCCTCCGCTTCCGCCGCGCGAAGTCGTGGAACTCCAACAGGAGCCGCTCGGCACAGGTCTCCAAGCCCAACCCGAAGCCGCCCTCCTCCTCCGTGCCATGCGCGGCGACATGCGCGTAGCGGAAGCGTCGCTGCGGTTCGGGCGCGCGGTAGACCGAGAAAAGCGAGGCCTCGGGGGAACCCGCTGGCGGACAGGTCTCCTCAAAGAAGTCCAAGCTCCAACGACCTTGAGCACCTGAGATTGGCAAATACATATAAATATATATATATATATATTCTACTATTTTATATAAGAGTCTATTGAATATGGAACCCGCGAACCCGAATGCAAACACGTACTCGGAAACAAACACCCAAACAATTTTTGACACTCTTGTAAGAGACACTTTTGCGGGACACTCTTGTAGGACACATATTTTTCGGAAACCTTTGTGGGACACTCTTGTGCACTCTTGTGGGGCACCTTGAATGACATTCACTTTTGCGGGACCCTCTTGCGGAACACTCTTGTAGGACACTCTTGTGGGACACCCTTATGGGACACTCTGGTGGGACACTCTTGTAGGACATTCTTGTGGGACACTCTTCCGGGGCACTCTTGTGGGACACTCTTGTTTGTCACTCTTGTATCACACTCACTCTTGCAGGGCACTCTTGCGGAACACCCTTGTAGGACACTCTTGCGAAACACTCTTGTAGGACACTCTTGTGTGTCGCTCTTGCGGGACACTCTCGTAGGACACCCTTGTGGGGCACTCTTGCGGAAAATTGTTGTAGGACTCTCTTGTGGGAAACTCTTGGGCGCTCTTGTGGAACACTCTTGCGGAACACTCTTGTAGGACACTCTTGTGAAATGACCTTGTAGGAAACTCTGGTAGGACACTCTTGTCGGACACTCCGGTGGCACACTCTCGTGGGACACTCTTGTAGGACATTCTTGTGGCACACTGACTCTTGCGGGACACTCTCGTAGGACACTCTTGTGGGACGTGCGCAACTCTCTTGTATGACACTCTTGCGGGACACTCTTGTGGGACACTCGGACACTCTGGTAGGACACTCTAGCGAAACAGTCTTGTAGGACACTCTTGTGGGACACTCTTGTAGGACACTCTTGTGGGACACTCTTGTATGTCATCTGTGTTGGCAATCCACTGGTCCCGAAAAATTTTAAGGAAATTAGCTATAATGCTAAGGAAACAGAAGCTGTTCAAGCTAGCGCCCCTTTTTCTCATTGGCTAGCTCAAGCCGTACTGGCCGCAGGAAGGCTAGCACCGGCCGCAGGAAGGCTAGCGCCGGCAGCAGGAAGGCTAGCAGCGGCCGCAGGAAGGCTAGCGCCGGCAGCAGGAAGGCTAGCACCGGTCGCAGGAAGGCTAGCAGCGGCCGCAGGAAGGCTAGCAGCATACCTCAAGAACGACGACAGGAAACATACTGCAAAATAGCAATGAATCAAATGAATCAAACTTGGACTGAAAGCAACTGATGAGATCACGAGCATCAGCAACTGAGCGCATCCTTCTTTTAAATATCTTTCTGTGGTGAATCTCCCCTTCACCAGTGCTGGGCCGCTAGGACCGCAGGACCGCAGAACGGCAGTGGTGGATCTCCGGATCTCCCCATCACCATTGCTGGACTGCGAAGACCGCTGAGACCGCAATGGCGAATCTATTCATCACCATTAATGGGCTCCAGCATTTCAATGCCCTACATCCCGCCCCAATTTCGGAGAGCAGGTTTTGGATTGAGGGCTGCCAACATGGTTTTCAACAAAACAGAATTAATCACAAACAGCCGCGCCTGCAGCTTCTTGCATGCTTCGTCCCTACTCGCAACAACCCGGTCCATCAAGTATGGCCAGTGTCGAGACCACTCCTGAATTGTAGCCTGACAAGACTTGTGCCTGCTGCCTGCCAATGGTCTCAGAAGCAATTTCATAAATCACGCACCCAAACGACCATATGTCAACTGCAGGGCCTACAAATTGAGAAAGCTGACACAAGGAAGCACCCCATAGTTCTGGTGGTCTGTACATGGCTGTTACGTACTCTTGAAATCGCAAGGTGCACCCTAAAGCGTTGGAGCCTTTGGCATCCTCGCGAAAAATTGGCAACTCCTCACACAATCCAAAGTCGATCAGCTTCAGCTGCCGCTGGTGGGGGCACCAAAGAGCATTGTTGGGCTTCAAGTCTAGATGTATCAAATTGAGTCGGTGCAAGGCACACAATGCAGTTTTCAGCTGCACACCAATGGCTCGGCAATCATCCAGGCAAAATGCACCATGTTTCTGGAGCAAGGCCCATAAATTGGACCCAAAGCACTCCATGACCAAGAACGGGTATGGGGATGCTCGGGGCTCCACATGCCAAAGGCGAGGAAAAAACCTGTGAGATCTTGCCCCAACTCAGTCTGCAGGCGCTTCAGAACTGAAGCCTCATGCTTCACATCGGCAAGCACATCAGAGCGCTTGAACACTTTCACTGCACAACATCGGTGGAATTGATCCAGGCAAAGAAAGACACTCCCATGAGAGCCTTCACCAAGCTTCTGGCAGCTGGGGCTGTCAAGGCCATCTGTTGCCACCTTGTATTCTCCAATCAAGAGAGGCTGAGGCTGACACTGCTCATTGGTGGCCTCCACATCTGGCTTCACTTCCACAGCTGCCGCACGGGCTTTGCGACATGTTAAGCCATGCTGCTGCATTACAGCGCGCTGGTTGGCAAACTCACCACCTGATTTGATCTGAT